CCTTGCACTCTGAAGAATACGGGCTGCTGGAAACTGCTCTCTCCTTCTGAGTTGATGAAGAACAGCATTATCCTAGGACATTATTGAAGCAACCATCTAAATTAGAATCCACTACCAGACAATGCACATGACCTTACCAACCCTGACACGTTCTGATGTTTAAAAGAGTGGAACAGTGGATATCTTTAGTGCAAGATAGTTTTTTAAAGTTAAAGATTACATTTATTAGAATATAATGGGCACTCTGTGACATATCTCAAAGTGTCCTTAGACCAGCCTACATATGGAAAGGAATTTACTGTATATATGAGAAGTTATTACAAACCATAGGGAGAAATTCTATAATAAATTTCATAGGAATTATGGACCATTCAATTAAGATATCTTAAAAATCAAGTTAGATTTTTACCTCACAATATAAAGAACCAAGTGAAAACAATTTTTAAAAATATTAGAAGCAAACATAGAAAAAGCCTTCTTAAGCAACACACAAAAGAAAGAACCCCAAAAAGGAAAAGACTAACATATTGACCCATATCCATGTTTAAATGTTCTGAAAGACAAAAATAGGTAAAATGTAGGATACAGACCGGGTAACATACTTGCACTGTATAAATATGTGTAAAATATGTATAAATATATATAACATAAGTATTTTTAAAATCAATAAGGCATCTAATATGGATATAAGTAAAGACATTCAATTAAGAAATATAAATGGCTCATAAAGGAAAAGGTTCTCAAATAATGAAGGGTATTTTATTCATCGTCTTTCTAGGCAAACATTACAAAGACAGGTTATATGCAATGCTGTGCAGCATGTGAGGAAACAGGACTTGCACTCATCACCAGGGGCTTGGAGTGAAGGGGAATTTGGAAGCATCTAACAAAATTTAAAAACCATGTTTCCTTCAATGCAACAATTGTACTTCCACATAGCTATTTTTAGAGAATATACAGGATATACAGAAAGAATGGTATACAAAGATGTTTAATCAGTTTACAATAATGAAAATGGAATGGCAGAAATGTTCACAGGGGAAGGTTAAATAAAGTATGAAGCATAACAGTAACAGTTAAACATACTAATAGGAAAGCTCTGAATTATATTATTGAGTGACAAAGTAGTTGAAAACTTTGGGTACAAACTTTTGTGCACTATGGTGTTATATTTTTTAAAACTCATAAAACAAAATTACAATTTGTTTGTTTATATTCATGTATGTGCACACACAGAAAAAGGTTAAAGGGGTGCACACCAAATAGGCAAAGCCCATTTCTTGGTGTTTCCTCTGTAGCATGTGATTGGGTTCAGGTGACCTACACGGACTTTCACTCGTACTCTGCTCTTTAATTGAGGGTTAATTCATGGAAAAGACCTCCCTCGACACAAGGTGTTACTCCTGCAATTAAAATTAGATTATAAACAAAGTAAGAATGCATGTGAGGTACTTTGTGACCACCCACTCTACTAATTTGCTTACAAAATTTCGGTCTTTCATCAGTTATGTTGTCCTACGTACACTCTCCAATACACATAGTTGTCCAAGTCAAACTGGCACTGTGAAGTGCGCTTGTTATTTGTTTATAAACTTACTATTTTGTAATATTTGAGCAGAATCTTACTATTTTATGCCATTTGGTGATTCCTTGCCTAAATAACAAAAGGAGGTTTAAAAGCACTCATTGTTTTCAAACGTTTTGACCAATATTTATTCTGAAATGCCAGGGTACATTGATAAAAATATCAAAATGTCAAACCTGAGGTCTTCTTTTTTCACTAGGAAGTAAAACTTATATGTATTTATAGCTATACACTAGGTCCAACAGAATGGATTAAAATTTCTCCCAAATATTCTTATCAAGTGTCTAGCTTTAGCAATAGCAGTATGTTGCTTTCACATTTAAAAAATGCCATAATAATAATGTAAGGCAAGTTTGTGGAAAGCTTAGTATCTTCATTTTACACTCTAGTAAATTCAGCCTCAACCAACATCAAATTAACTAAAATTAAGTTCAGGGCTCAAGTTTTCTTCCCTATATATAACTGTCTCCTATAAACTACCTACTCTTTCTTCAATCTCTTAACAGTACTGTCTAACATGAAATTTTACTTCTGAGCATTATAAGCAGCACGTAGTAGACTGACACTGGCATATAGCATAAGTAGCTGAGTAAAATTCCACTTAGAGAAGGTGAAATTTAATACAATGACAAACATATTTGAATTGTGGATGAGAAGACCCCCCCGTGCATGGAGGGGGAAACTTGCAAAACTAAAATTTTGGTCTATCACAAAATAAACTCCCTTTGGTATTTTAGAGATTGTCCACAGTTTCATTTTTAAAATGGACAGCCTATTTTTTTAAATTTTAAAATGGATTCTAATTATTAAACTGTACTCTAAAGGAATTATCATATATTAATGTTCAGTGGTTTCACCTGAGACTTATGAAGGTGCATATTATTCATATACAAAATAAAAATATTTTTCCAAAACGTTTTTGCTGTATATTTTATTTAGGCTTTAAGAAAACATATCGTACATACAAATGTATGTTAAAGTTCTCTGAATGCATTTAAAAACTACATAAATAGATGTAAGCATTAAAAATTCTCTTGTCCTATGATAGCATTTACTACAGCATACAGCTCAATAAGCCAGTAGAATATCATAAACTTGCAAGCGACTAAATTCATGCCTGTTGCTTTACCTGAGGCAGCTGATCCAAAAAGAAAAAAAAAAACAACAAATGTCAGAGGGGTATGTTACAGCTGATTGCTCTGTTTGTCATGGCTCATAGAGACCATAAACGATTATGTGGCTATTTCCTCCCGTGCATTGTCAATTAGATGCGTTTCTGTCGTATTTGCTGAGCGTCAGCAAAGTAGACCGAAGCCCCGCATTGCAGCACAGCGCCAAAGACCAGGGGCGAGCTCTGCGGCCGCGCGTTACATAATAAAAGAGAACTGGGGACGCCTGGCAACGTGGTGAAATGATACAGCATGAATTTGCCCGGTGTGCAAAGAAGTAAACCTAATTCCTTTCTGCTTTAGACCGTGCCACTGCCTGGTTTGCTGTGGAGTGTTTGAGGGGGAGAGCAGACTTGAAAATTCGAGGGTGTGATTAGTACTGGGAACATTGGGGGCCATATAAAAGATGCTCAGGTGGGCTACTACCCCATCCCTGGCCAGCCAGCTTCCGAGGAGAAAAGGATAAGCTATGTCACAGTGTTCAGATTTGGGGAAATCTCTTGCTCTTAGAACGGATGAAAGCTGTACGGAGGCGAAGGGCCCAAGGAGTGGGTACGCAGGCCGCTCGGGGCTTGGGGCCTTGTACTCCAGCCTTAGGGATCCCTTGTCCAAGCTGCCAGCGTTGCACCTAAGCCTGCTTACTGCTCAGATAGGCGGATAGCAGGGCGTCCTGCATAGGAGAATCTGAGCACATTCTCTCCGCCTGCGCTGTCTTCCCAGTTCCGTCCCCGTTGCCGCAGAGTTCCGACTGGGCGCCTCATCTCTTCCACACCTGGGTCGCTCAGGCTGGGCACCCGGGCTCGCGTTGCCCCATCTGTGCCTCTCCTATCCCCACCCCCGGCGACCCTCGAATCCTCTGCAGCGCTTGTCCGCAGAGACGCTGTATACCCGGTCTTCTCCAGAAGTCGCGGACCTGAGGGGCCAGTGGCTCCAGAGCAGAGGCTGCCGGCGCGCGAGACCCCGATCCACAGGCTCCTGCGCTGTGGGCGCAAAGCGGAGTCTGCGCTTCCCCCCGCTGAGCGCAGGAAAACGCAAGGGCCAGCGGGGGCGCCTCGGCTGTCGGCCGGCTGAGCACGGGGTTTGCACCGCAGCACCGCAGCTCCCGAGCCGGAGTGAACGCTCCCGGCGGCGTCTCCAGTTGCTCCTCTGAGCGCGGAGGGAGCGGCTGCTTTCGCTCCACTGCTGCCAGGCCAGAGGCTCCGGGAGCTGCGCCCGACCCCGGAGGGCTCGGGCCGGGGCGGTTTCGCGGCGAGGAGCGAGCAGCAGCGCCCGCGGCCCGGCCGTCGCGGACGCTTCCCCTCCTCGGCCCGGGAACCTGGATAGGGCGCCAGCAGGATGTTCGCCGGCTGGGCCCGGCGCTCGGGAAACACGAGAAGGTCTCGGCATTCCTGTTCCCGGGCGCGCGCCCGTCCGGGTAAATAAAGCCGCGGCGGCGGCGGCGGCGGCGGCGGCGGCGGCGGCGGCGGGGATCGCGCTGCAGCCCGCGCGGGAGCATGCGGCGGGGATGGGCACGCGCCTAGCGGCCGCCGGGAACCCCAAACCGCCGCAGGTACCGCCCGCCGCTCCAGGGCCGCTGGCCGCCCCGCCCTCCCCCACTCTCCGAGGCCCGCGGGGACGCGCCTCCGCTGCCCGGTGGCCCCGGGGTCTCGGGGAGCCGGGCGCCCACCTGGCCGCGCCTCCCGGCTTTAAAGTTACTGGCGGGCACTGGGCGGGGCAGTCCGGCCGGGAGTGAGCGCCCAGCACAGTGCGGAGCGACTCGGGTAAGTGGGGCGCAAAAGAGCCCGGGGTTAGGACGGCGGGGCCCACGCCTCGGGGCCAGTGCTGGGCCGCTCGGACCTCGGCCCGGGGCGCGCCGGGGATCGGCCTTTGCGTGGGCAGGGTGCGGGGTGGCCTCGCAGGAAAAGCACGCGGCTGCCGGCAGGAGGGCAGGGCTGGGCGGAACGGTGCAAGGGCTGGGGATAGGCGCGGCGGCCCGGAGCCCGGCACGTGCCCGTGGGCGCGGAGGAGTGGGGCTGAGGGCGAGGCGGGATTGGGCGCGTGCGGCTCCCCTGGAGGCCAGGGCTGGGTGGGGAGCGGTGGAGGGGCCTAAGGACCCTCGCCGCTGCCCCCGGGCGCCTGGCTGGGCAGGGCAGGCGGGCGGGCGGGGATCCGAGCCTGAGAGCGGCGGACAGAGGCGCCACGCCGCCGACCCGAGGTGCGCGCGACAGGACTCGGAGCGACAGCCGGGGCGGGGAGGCGCGACCCTCGAGCCCCGCTGCATCGGCCCCCCCCCGGGTGCCGACGCCTTTACGGCCCGGAGCTCTGAGCTGGAGCTCGCGCCCGCGCTGAGGAAAGCCAGGGTTCTGCGGTGGCCACCCTGAGGGTCGGAACCCAGAGCCTCGACCTGCCCGGACCCTGCGCGTCCTGGGGCGGGCTTGGGGGACGGCACGACCGGAGGATGTGGTGCATTGGTCCCAGACGCCACTTAGCTTTCCGGGGCTGGGGCCCCCTTCCAATGGCTCCCTGTCCTCCCCTCCCTGAGGACCTCAGCCGACAGTAGCAGGGGTTTCAGCCAGGACCCAGAAAACATGAAAATCCCTGGACCCCAGCACGGCATGGGACTCCTTAACTGGGCCTTGCGGAAGCAGTGGTCCCTCCCACCCCACCCCTCCTGACGCCCGAGTGGGGGCCCCGGGAGGCTTGCGTGTGACCGAAGGGCACGTGGCCCTCGCCTGCCCTGCTGCTGTCCCATCCCCAATGCGTTCTCCTCCGAGGCCCGGAGGCTCCTTTGAGATTTACTCCCTTGCCCCCGAAGGTAAGTTATTTCTGGCTGAGGTTCCACGGGTAGGGTGGGAAGTGGCAGCGGCGGGGTGGGAGGTGCAGAGCCAGGTGGGAGAGGCGGGGGTTCGCTGGGCCAGTCGCTGCAGGGCCGCTCCGCCCCTGGGCTCCGCAGCCCAGCGCCCCCGCCAAGCCCAGGGCCGGAGGCCTGCAGGAACCTGAGCACTGTCCGGCGGTAACGCGATGCACCTTGGTCTCCTAGAACTCGAGTCCTGTCGCGGAGCGCCTGGCTGCCGGCACCATGAACACCATCGTCTTCAACAAGCTCGGCGGCGCCGTGCTTTTTGAGGAACGGGGCGCTGCAGAACGGGAGCGGGGCGGCCGGCCCTACGGCGGTGTCCTGGATGGACCCCACGCCCGCCCCGAAGTGGGCATTGCCGGCGGCCCGCCCCTCAAGGACAACCTCGGCCTGAGACACCGGAGGACCGGGTAGGCGTGCGCTCCCGGGGCCCTGCCTGCCTGCGGCCGGAGGGGAGGGCTCGCGCACCCCGGGGTCCCCCAGGAGGGCAAGTCCGCATCCCCTGTGCTCGCGCGTCCTTGTTTTGTGGATCTGGAGTCTCAAAACGAGCGATCCTGGGGTCAGAACCTTGGAACCGAGGCTCTGGGAAAGTAAGTCGGAGCAGCAGCCGTCGTCCTCGGCCACCTGGACCTCGGGGTGGTTTTTGGCGCCCCGTTCGTACCGCTGGCGCAGGAGGGACTGACCGGGATGCATAGGACCAGGGCGGACCGGGGTCAGGCCCTGGGGGTCTCCTCCGGGTCCCCCGGCCCCGCGCCCAGGAGGGGGGTCGGGAAGGTGACCCCTGCGGGGCGACGGGGGCGCTCACAGCTCGCGGGGTGCCCAGGGCAGGCCGGGACCCCCACCGCGGCGTTCAGTCCAGCGGGGCGAGGGGGCCCGGGAGGCGGGGGCCACCTGCGCCGGTGCGGGGCCTGGAGCGCAGACTTTGGCCGCGAGGTCGGGGTCCAGGGCAGGAGCGCGGTCTTGGCGCCTCCAGGTGGACGATGCGACAGCTGCGGGCTCCGCGACCTCGCCGGTTAGTGAAATCGAGATTAGGTTTCTTCAAAAAGTTGCTAGCAGGAGGTTCGGCCGGAGTTGCGTTTTCAGGCGTCCGAGGAGGCCAGGCCAGGAGGCGGCAGCGGCGCAGGCGCCCCCGCTTCCCGCCGGGCGCGGCGACCCCTCCCGGAGCCGCCCGGGAGCGCAGCGCAGCGCGAGTGCGCGGGCTCGGGCGCGGACCGTCGCCTCGGAGCCTTTCCCGGTTTTCCTCCCTTCCCCTGGGCTGAGCTGGCCTACTCTGCCCTGCCTTGGGCAGGAAGCGCCCTCGGGTGCTCCTCGGGCTGTGCGTCCTTCTCACGCGGACTCCCTTTTCCTCCCTTCTGCCCCAGAGCGGCAGAAACAGCGGGGCGCTCGAGCGTCGGCCCTGCGGCCTCGGCCCGCGCACACGCGCTGCTGCGGCCGGCGGCTCGGGGCTGCGCCGGTGGGCGCCGGGCAAGGTGCAGTCGCCTCCTGTTCATTCCTCCGCTCGCTTCCGCTTTATCTCATCTCTGAAGCGAGGCACTCGGCTCAGGGTGTTTTCCACATCGAGGTCGACTTAGATCTTAGGCTGCCCCCTGACCTCTTCCAGGCCTGGCCCGGCCCAGCCTCGGGCGGGTGGAGAAGGGGCCTCTCGGGGCCCTCACCCTCCCCACCTCTCCCCTCCTGGCTTCTAGGGCCCGGCAGAGCGGCGGGAAGGTGAGGCACAAGCGGCAGGCCCTGCAAGACATGGCGCGGCCGCTGAAGCAGTGGCTCTACAAGCACCGCGACAACCCGTACCCCACCAAGACCGAGAAGATACTCTTGGCCCTCGGCTCGCAGATGACGCTAGTGCAGGTAACGGGGACCCAGCGGCTCTGAGCCCGCCTCCCCTGCCGGCCCAGGAGGACGCAGGTGGCGCCTCTCTGGAGAGGATGGAGCCCGGGCGGGCGAAGGCGGTCCGGATGCTTTGGCATGGGCTGCCTCTCACCCTGATTTATCACTGTGGTGCAAATGAGCGGAAGGGACTGTAGAATGTGCTGCTGAGAAAGGGGCTGGAAGGTCAGCTGCGGATTTGGAGGAAGCCTGGGAATCTGGACTCAGGTATGGTGCACACAGCCTGCACCCCACCCGGAGGGAGCTCCTCTTCAGTAGTCTCCAGGGTGAGCAGTAATTTACACTTCTAACAAGTTCTCGGGTTGTGCTGGAGCTGCTGGCCTTGGGCTCAAAAGCTTTGAGAACCCTAGAATCTGGGGCGGCATATTGGAGCCACGCGTATTAAAGCTCAAGTTGGGACCAGCTCTCAGAATGACCATTATTAACACAGGTGTGTGTGTGGGGGGGGGACTAGGAAGACAGGGAGTGAGTTTGCCCACTTTATTAATTTTTGATAGGAAGCATTGTGGCATCGGCCGGAACCCACAGTAGGTACTTCGCTGCTGGCATCTTTCTGCTGGGCTTAAGGAGAGGAGGCAAAGTTCAGATTTCAGGTGGCTCCTCGCCAAGTGTAGGAGGACATGGTGCAAGGTTGTTTCTTCTCCAGTGAACACATACTAGTTTACACCGAACCAGCGTTTCTGAACACAGTCCTATTTGCTGTTCACTGTAACAGTAATGTGGAGCACACCTCACGGATAACAGCCAAAGTGCACGGAAGTTCAGGGTCGGTAGGGGGCCGAGGTGGGCCTGGAAATAAAAATCTAATTTTAGGTCAGATGCTTTTTCCATTTCACCACAGTTTTCTGTAATAGACATGGTGGCATGGATGTTTGTACAAGCAAACACAACAGCTATATCGGGAGGAGGAGGAGGAGGAGCAGGCTGGACTGGGACACTTCACACAGAACAGTAGCTCCACTCGACGGCATTTGTGAGGTTTGGAACATTCCATTAAATAAATGTACAATAAGGGAAACACCCCAAAATAAACAAATATTAAATAAAATAATCAGTTTCCAGAGTATTTAAAAGTTGTCACTTAGGAATTCCTTTTTTGTGTGTGGTACTGGGGATTGAATGCAGGACCTTGAGCTTGCGAGGCAGGCATGGTGCCACTGAGCTACATCCCCGGCTAGGAATTACTTTTTGACAAAGCATGAAAGCTGACTTGAGGTCAGGCTTATCAAAATTCTAATATGTATGTTTCTGCTTAGTTTTAGAATATAGCTATAAAGGAAAACATCTGTTTTCTTTCTCATTAATAGGAAATTGTATTAATAGTGATTTCCAACAGCACTAGAGGGAGAAATTAGTATAAGACTTCTTGGCTTGATATCTATTCATAAAATAACTTTCTATAATGAATGTAATCACTATGTACTGTAAACATACTGATAAACTTTTTTTAAAACAGATATTCTGTGATTTACGAAAGTAATTTCTAAATAATTATAATCAGAAAAACTTGACTTATGAAAATAAATGTATATGCTGATTTCAGCTTATTATGTATGCTATTTATCTTGAACATACACTAATTTATAGTTATTTGAATATTTCACAATGATGGCAGCAATGCACCATTACCTTATTTTGGTGGCCATTCTTTTATAGAGACAGCAAAAAAAAAAGGACATTATTTTAGAACATTTGTTAGTTATAAAAAATAAGGAATGGCATGTAAACTTATGCAGTAGTTTTATTGAGCTGCAACTCAAGTAATTATAATTTTCATGAAGAATCAAATTATTTGCTGCCTGTAATGACAGTCTGAATACACAAAACAATTCTTTTTACATTTACATTTTGGTAAGGCTATTATGTTTCTCGAATTTACATGAAATTTCCATTCAAAACCCTTTCCTTTCTCTTATAGTAGTCTTTAAGAAATAAAAAAAATGCACAAAATTCGTAATTTTTAAATGGGGCATGGCCAGGAATGTAGCTCAGAGGCACAGTGCCTGCCTAGCAAGCACAAGGCCCTGAGTTTGATTCCCAGTACCAAAAAAAAAAAAAAAAAGTAGGGCAAAGATTATCAATAGCAAAAAATGATAATGGTATATAGGTTATCATATTTTATCATAATTGAAGTTTATTTCTTAAACTGTAAAGTAATATATGGAAAAAATTAAAATGTATAGAATTACCAAGGCACCTTAATGTGTAATCCAGTTTGTGTCCAGTTATTTTCAACTAGGCACAATAGTATGTCTATGTAAATTTTATATATGTGTGTGTGTGTGTGTATTTGCAAAATACATATATATGAGTTTGTATAAGTCAAACATAATCTGAACATCCAAAGCAAATTCTGAGTATGGAAAACTGCATAAATTCCGTTAGCAGTTTACGTTTCTGGGGAAAACACAAAGCCGTGATCTTAGACCCTAAGCCACGAGTCAGACCCGTCTGTGAGCTCCTCCTGTGGAGTCAGCCTTCTTGAGACGCGTGATCATGTCCCACTCATGACACTCACAGGACACGTCACCCCAGCCTTGCGCTTTCCACGTAGCAAGGCATCTGCACACTTTAGTAGAGTGAATAGCTTACTTTTGGGAAATAACACTATCATCATTGTGTAGCTTTCCCAAATATCTCTCTGACAGCTAAAGAATGTCTTGAAGTCTAAGATGTTCTAGTTTAAAAACTCATCCCATCGTAGGGAATACACAGAGGCCAACTTGTTATCTTTAACACTACATGATAGGTCTGCAGAACAAGCACAAATATAACCCATTTCATTTTCAAAATATCTGAAAATATGTCGAATATCTATATCTAGAGGCAAACATGGAGTACTGCTCTTATTTCTGTCAAACTCTTATTTTTTTTATCTCATTTTTCATGGCTTATATTAACGAGGTGTCAGCCCATTTTATTCCTTGACTATAAAAGTGTATTATTCACTTGATCTTAGCCAAAAGGCCAAGAAGCGATTATATTTGGGAGTTTCTTTTATATTTACTTTTTTCTTTGGATTGTGTTAGCCTTTTCATGCACAGTAATTTCACTACTCTTAAATTGATAAGAGTGTGAAATCTGGTCAGAAATTTCCCTTGAAGCCTAGAATTAAAAACATGGAAATATTTTTTCTCATGAATAGAAGTTCCATTAATCAGAAGACATTAATCAGTAGCTACATGTGTTTTGTCCTTGAAACATGAAGCAAGGAAGTGTTTCTGCAACTTTCACTTATTTTTGCTCACATGGCTGGGTGAATTTGTTGTAATTTGCTGTGGCTACACTCAACTATGCTTAACTCTTCTTTGCATTATTAATTTGACATCTTTTTAATGTGATAATAGCACTTTTATAAAATTAACATGGAGGTGTTTGTGTGAGTGTATGTATGTGTGTTCTTTCATCTTATCTAACCAAAATAGTCCACTGTGCTTGGTTCCTATAGCTGGCTGTTGTTCAAACATTTTAAAAATATACTTGTACTCTCAAAATATAAACGGCTTTATTGTGGAGTAATATCAAGTTGTATGAGTTGGGTTTTCTATTAGGCACATGCCAAGGAATAATGTTTTCTCTTCTTATGAGCTTCAAATCCCTGTGATCTAGTTGGCTGAGACTGTTGTGCTACAAGATCTTTCCCACCGTGTTGACATAGCTCTGTTTTTACTTGGAAGTGAGTGCTTCTGCAGAGCTATGTGCACCTAGATCAGCTATACGTCTTACTGAGGCTGTTACATATTCAACAGAATCTCAGATTGTCCCTTATACATTATCCCAAGTATTGTACTACATGGAAACCAGGTGCTCAGTATGTCAGCAGAATAACCCAGAGTAAGTCTGTTAATTTGGTGTGTTCAGAGGTAGACAGATGCCAGTTTATCCCTTTGGGTTCACTGTGATGATTGCTCTCTCAGTGTGATGAACACCTCTGTTAGAGAGAATGAACATTTCTTAGTTTTCTCTTCCAGCTTCTAGATGTTTGGCTGTCTATGCTTTCACTGTAAAATGTGTGGTTTTAAAAAGTACCGAGTTTAACTGTAAAGTGCTGTTCCTGTACCTATTCTTGGGAAGAGGTCTGTTTTATGTAAAACACAATTTAAAGAGACTGTGCTTGACAGTCTGAAGGGAGCCATAGTAGGTGAAAGGTAGAAAATGTAAACTGGCGTGTTTACCTTCAGTGAAACATGGAGTTTGCATTAATTCGTCCAGAAAAAAATTGCAAAAAAAATTATTCAAATTAATTATCCAGTGATTTGCGTACTACTTGCAGGACTTACTATAAATGAAATTCCTTAGACTGTATCCAGCTACTCGGTTGTACCGTAAATACAACTGGTAATAAAATATTGGCAAAGTAAATATATTAGCAAGTTGGATGCCAGTCAAAAATCAGTTTAGAAGCAGACTGTTAGATATCAGTAAACTTTTCTGGCAAATTTCCTAAGGTATAACTATTATTATATGGTAAGAACTGTACATATATAAAACATTAAAAAGGATTTGACCCCTAATATGAAAACTAGTTATGTCCATTAGAATTACAGTGTACTAATGTTTATTATTAGAAGGCCATTATGTTTTTATTATGGGTTTAAAACTGTACTATGTAGGTACAGTGTAAGCTAGTTAAGATTGGTTAAAATTTAACTAATTCAGTCTGGATTGTATACTGTTTACTAAAGAAAATAACACAAAAATTTGGAGTTGGCTTCTATTAAATATGAGTAATCGAGGCATAAGGGAAATCACCAGCACTCTGTGTGTATGAGGAGCGAAGCCGGAAACAGTCACACATATCTGATTGCTAGAGAGTAATGGGAAGAGCAGAAGGTAGCTTTGTACCAACTGCAGAGGGAACCAGCACTGGTATAGGAAAGCTGGAGCTGTAATCACAGGTCTCAGTTTGTAAGGTTGGAAAGGATATCAGGGATTTTAGAGGAAAGATTTGAAGTTCAGAAAAGTTGGGTGACCTGGCTATATTCATACAGCGTGTTTCTGACAAATTCCAGTCAGGATACCAAGTCTCCTGCCACTGTACCACAGTTAGGATAACAGGATATCAGTGAGGATTTGAAGAAGTGAAGTGATGAAGTCAAAATGACCGTGAACACTTGAGACCCGTGATGGTTGTTGACGATGAATGTAATTATTATTACTGCAAACATGTACTCGTAAAAATAAAAAATTTTAAAACAGATTTATGCCGGAGAAGAGAATGGAAGATAGGGAAGTTGGAAGAGTGTTATAAAATTCCTAGAGGAGGATTGGGTGAAAATGTTGGCAGTGAGCTAGAGCATCAGAGGCAGGTTTAGAATGTGAGGAAAAGGACCAATGGTTTGTGTTTCCATGGTGACGTGCCACCTCTGTATCCAGGGTAATCACGACTCCTCACTGCGGTCCATCTGGGCTGCAGGGGACCAAGTTTAGTCAGTCCTGGCACTTAATACTGTGACTCACATAGAATAGCTACTCAGTGTATACATTTGTTGAACAAATAGTTCCAGAAGTTGTCTTGGCAGCGTGAAAAGACTGAGCACATGAAGTCAGCCTAAATCATGGTGATGGTAGTTCAGCTTGACAAAAAGTGAAGCTGGCGATGACCGAGACTTCTGAAGTGCCATAATGAGATGTCACATCACTCCACATAAATGCGAAAGGACAGTTATCATGGCTGAGGCAGAAGGAGGTGATGCAGAACACACTGAATATTGAATTTATGTGGAAGAACTATCGTGTGTTAATCATGGGGATCGGGAGAACAAAATACCATTTTGCTTTTCTTAAAATAGAACTTACCACAGTTTCATCCAAAAATTAGGGCTTGAGCAATGTGTAAAATTGTGTATTATAGTGTAACAAAAAGAAAAAGAAAACAGAAACTGCCAGTGAAACCTTTGCCACACAAACCATCTAGTAATATGGGGTCGTGTTCTGGAACAAACCGACAGAAAGACTTGAATCTCTTCCTATGTTTCATTCTTTTAAAAGCATTTTTCTTCTCAGAGATTTTTTTAAAAATCTACATACTGGTAAGATCCTGAGATTTTAGAAGAAAGCTCAAGTTCATTTTCAGCCCTGGAAACCCAGTGGCACCTCACAAAAAAAGTGAAGTAATTTTTCTTTAATTTGAGGTGTCCATTGCTTTGCCTTCACCTGAGTGCTTAAGAAGCAGTTGACTTTCGCTTACAGCTGGAGGCTCTTTGGCTCTTCCCCCTTCCGCCTCTCAGCTCCAACTCTGGGCCTTTTGCTGTCCTCCTTTCTGCTGCTGGTTTCCACATCTTGACCCGCCTCTTCTGCCTGCTCATGACTTCTGCTGTCATCTGCACACTTGTGCTTCTCAAATCGGATCTTCTTCCCCTTGAAGTTTCAGCTGTCATTTTTATTTCTTGCTGGATAGCTCATCCATATGCTTTTCCAGCACCTCAAATCACACACTCCCCCAAGCCAACCACATCATTTACTCTAAAGAGTTGTACTTTCTCAGAATGGTGCTGTCTTTCTCTTGGTTGCAAAGCCTTGACAGCTCAAGATCGTCTTTAATTCTTCCCTCTTGCTCACCCCTGCCATGCCTGTGAATTTTGACTTTCATTTTTGCTCCTCGTTCATCTTTACCGGGAACGTACTTCCTATCCACTCCACCTGACACACTCCAGCCTGCCTTCTTTTACTAGCTTAATTCCTTGTGAAGACTTGAGTCTCATTGGAAAATAACCCTGTGTTCCTTTAGATTCTTATATCCCTTTTTTGGTTTTTTATTTTTTGAGATGGGATCTAGCTATATTGTCCAGGCTGATCTAACTTCTGGCCCTTAGCCTCCTCCGTAGCTGAGAGCACAGGTGTGTGCCACCAAGCCTGGCCTCATTCGGCTTCCAAGCCTGTCTGCCATTTTTCACATTCTTTTTCTCATCTCAGTCTCTTGCTAGATGTCTTAGCAAGGAAAACAGTCAGATGGAATAGAGGAGTAAAGGAGGGAAAAATGCCGAAGAAAACCCTGCTATAAGCTGAAGTCATGTTTCTTAAGCACATAGGTGCCGTTCAGTTAAGACTAAAAATTTTTTGATGGCAAGGCCTCTTTGGTTTTGTTATTCTCAGCATTTAGAAAGAGCTGTTTGTGTCATGTGCTCAGCACTGTTGAAGCAACGATCGGACATGAACATCCGGTACTCCTGTGTCGTGAAGATGTCTAGTGACGAAAGATGCTGTTAGAGGCTTGGATCCTTTGTAAGAAAGCAAATACAGAATAAGTCATGCTTTTGTGTTTTGTTAATGGGAAACTACTACTGTTTTAGGTGTCAAATTGGTTTGCTAATGCGAGACGTCGGCTTAAGAACACGGTCCGGCAGCCCGATTTGAGCTGGGCTTTGAGAATAAAGTTGTACAACAAATACGTACAAGGGAATGCTGAGAGGCTCAGTGTGAGCAGCGACGATTCCTGTTCCGAAGGTTTGTTCAGAATTTTCATTGTGCTTCCTTTTGCTTGGCCTCTGTAGTAAGAAATTCACCTCAGTGACCGTTTGGGAGACTGACCCTACAAAGTAGGATGGTGCCATAGCAGCTCGTTGTTACTGCTTGGAGTAACTTTATTTGGATAGTACTGTCGATGACCGACAGAATTATGGCCGCTTCTTCTTGTGTATAGATTTATTGTGTGTTGCAATCACATTTTCTGTGAAATTCATGAAAATTTAAATACCAGAGGAGAGATTATACAGATGCCTGCCTGCCTTTGCCTAAAACTGAATCTCACCTATCCAAGACGATTTTACACATGGTTTGTATTCTTCATAGATGGAGAAAACCCTCCGAGACCGCACATGGGTGAAGGGGGCTATAATAGTCCAGTGCATCATCCTGTGATCAAAAGTGAGAGTGCAGTCATCAAAGCCGAGTCTCGGGCCGGCGAGGACTACGTATCACCCCCCAAATACAAGAGCAGCTTGCTGAACCGTTACCTTAACGACTCTTTGACGCATGTCATGGCCACAGGCACTGCCATGATGGGGAAAACAAGGCAAAGAAACCACTCGGGATCTTTTAGCTCCAATGAATTTGAGGAGGAACTGGTGTCTCCCTCGTCGTCAGAAACCGAAGGCAACTTTGTCTATCGCACAGGTGAGCTTCTGGTTTCCCTGTAATTACTGTGATATCGGCGGTAAAAGAGAACTAAAACTGCAGCAGAGGGGTTTATTTTGACACTATGAAGGCTTAATTACTCATACGTATAATTCAGTTTTGTTTTTAATTGATTTTTCGGTTATAGGTAATGGGCTTACAGATGAGAACATTTCGATTTAAATAATAAGGGTAAAATTCTTTATTCTTACTGATAATTTTTAATCTGAATGCTAATGATATTCAGAGGAGGTATACATGTCTAGTGCTCTTTATGAATAACTTATAATACAGGAAAGCACTGGATTATAGCCAGTCATGGAAATACTTACATTACTTTATATTCTGTCTTTTCTTTTACATGCTTTGATTTCTAATAGTGATGGAAATAAACACAAATGAAAACGAGTGCCAATTTTTTTTTTTTTTTGGTATGGGGATCGAACTCAGGACCTTGTGCTTTCGAGGCAGGTGGCAGTGTGCCAGGTTTTTTTGTGAAGGGAAAGGTATAGGTCTGGCTTCAACAGCTTTGGAAATTTTACTTTTATTCCTGGAAAGCCCGAGTAGGGTTGATAAATAGCTTTGAAATTTTTACTTTCATTCCAGAAATAATGAATCAGTTTCTACCTGTCCAAAACATTCAGATGGAGTAGCATGTTTGGTAACATTTTCTATCTTGACTTCAGTTCCCAGAGAGATTTGCTCTGACAGAGCATTTGAGCATGTTGTTTTGGAACAAGGGATACATGTGCCCTACATCTGGTGTGGATAGAATCTGAATCCTGAGAGCTGCCAGCAAATGAGCTTTAATGTCAGATCTGAAAACAACTTCAGAAAGCGTCCAGTCCAGCCACATTAAATCACAGATAAGAAAAGCCAGACTAAGAACTCTGAAGTTGCTCTTTTCCAGTTGAAGAGAGTAGCTAGAAGTAGGAGGAGCATCGCTACTAGCAGATGGTTGTGATTATACCTGTACCACCCTGCGTTTACTTAGTTACGCCATGCTCAGTGCTAGAGATGCTACATAGCTGTTACTGAGTTTAATCCTCATGATATCGAGCAGCTTGGTATATGAACAATAGGGCTTTAAGAAAGAAGCCAAATTTGGTCTGCTGAATATGCCTTTTAGATTATGTAGCCACAAATTTCATTTTCAAGTGTGTACAAGATATATGACCTTTGAAGACTCAATGAAGGTATGAGTATATCCTTAAGTCAGCCTTGCTTTCTGTGTATTCCTCCATTTCCAACAACACAGACATCCCCAAGCACTCAGAGATACCCAGCAGTCTTGTAATAATTGGGTTTAGGAAGAAGTACAAGTAAAAGCCCATTTAGCCAATAATGAACATAAAGAAGCTATATATTAACATCTAACTAATATGACCAAGGCAGAGCTTGCAGGGAATTCATAGCTTTATGAATGTTTATTTTCAGAGAAGGGAAAAGAAATCAAGTCATTCAGATACAAATAGCTGGGGAAAAAAAGAAAATAAATTTTGAAAGGTAAAGTAGTTGAAAAATAAATCAAAAGCTGACTCTTTGAAAGCAATAATAAAATACACAAAAACCATCAGAATTAAAGTTAGAAATGGCAAAACAGTCAATCTATAATTGATACTTTAAAAAATTATAGAGTATTATACACAATACAGTAGTTTGACAATATAATGTGTCTCACTGTGTATATGAAGTGAATTGTTATCAATCACACAAATTAAATTATAAATTTGTAAGTAAGAAAAATTTTAAATGACTAACAACTTAGGAAAAATTCAGAATTTTTTTGTAAATCCACTTCCCAAAGCATCTAACTTGATAGATCCATTGGCTTTTTTTTTTTTCTCCAAATTTTGAAGAAATAATTTCTATGTTTATACATTTTTCTGGAACATGTAAAATCATGGGAAGTTTGTCAGTTTTTAAAAATGTAAATGTTATTTTAACCCCAAACCAAATTAAGATACTAATGATACTCTGTATGAAATAACATGAAAAATATTTATAATATAGTAATACGTGAAAAACAATTCAAAATTTTGAAAACACTAAATGTAGATATGACAATGCAAATGAGCATAAACTAACAATAAAGACTGGAAAGGCTTTTGGAAAAAAAATGAAATTTATTTTAATGGGATAGTTAATTGCTAACTAGTTATTTAAAAATAGTAAATTTTTCTTAAAAAATTAAAAACCAATGGCTGCATCAAGTCACATACTTTGGAAATTCCTTTATATTGCCCAGTGAAAGCAAGTTAATATTCCTATGAAACTTACCTGGTGAATCTTCTGAAAATGCATGCTCTTTTCTAAAGTGACAAAATATAAAAAGTTGAGAAGGAATAGCATGCCTGTAGTTAATGCTTCCTAAAATTAATATCTTGGCTGTTTATTTTTATGAATGCATTCCAAATGCACTTGCTCCATATTAAGGACTATTCATTTGCCAAGTTCTATTTTAAAGCCTACTTTTCAAAAGTTATGCAACCAATGAGAAAGTAACCTAGACATGCGAACATCCAGTTTTTCATGTATACTTGTGAGCTTTAAAGAACAAACCAAATTTTTATTTTTATTTTTATGGTTGGAGAATTAAGAAAGACTGAAGTCTTTGACGGTGATCAGACCCAACAGTACATGGCCATTTGCTGGGAGGCTGAGTGACAGTACTTTGTAGTAGGCTAACTCAGTACAGGCACAAATAACAGGACGGGGATTCAAGAAATACTTTCTGAAACCACTTGCTGTGGTTTTCTTTGGCACACAAGCTTATCCTGAATTCCTTCAGTTCCATCTGGTGGTGTCTTTCTTTCCTCACCTAAATAGAATTTTCTTATATCCGCTAGTAACTCACCCCTGGCCCGTCTTGCTGTAGTAATACACATATTTTAACTTGCACATTTTTTTTCCAAGAACACATATAAGTACAATTGATGGTTAATTTTCTGAGGAATTTTGCCTCCCATTTTTTATAAGAATTGCTATCATGATCCATTTTAATAAACATAAGGGGTCAAAGAGCCAAATGAAAGTTGGTGTATAGAAGGTAATGGGTCACTGAATTTTAGTCCATCCATTCTTAATCACAGGAGGGAGGTGCTTTATGAATTGTAAGGTGTGTTATTAGATTTCATCAAAGCAGATACATGTTTTTAGTGATTTTATGTAGATATTATTTCTTGGAATTAGCAAATTTGGCATTGTGCCGGGGCATAGTAGGCGCTCGGTAAATATTGGTTGAAACACTTCTGACTGCAGAAGTTGCACTGTTGGAATTGATCAGAATTATTAAAGTCATCACTTCTAAATACAAGTGAGTAATGTTCAAGAACTCTGTTCATTGAGTGGTATTAGCAAATTAATATCGCAGTCCATTTTCAACATGTTAGCTTAACGCATAATCATTTTCAGATGTTTAATGAAGTGAATTCCCATTACAAACTGAGGTCCAGGTACCCGAATGGATCTTAGGTGTCAGGGTAAAGGGACGGGTCCTCAGGTTCTCCTGCGGGTATCTTCCATGCCATCTTCCAGAGCACATCCTCACCACAGCCTTGTCTACATGGAATTAGAGTTTGATGTTAGCTGCAGAATCGAGCCTGTTAGATTTCCTACCCTAAGGAGGTGGGGAGAGAGGGTTCTAAGAAGCATGATAAAGGGAAAGTCAGGCAAGCCTTGGGATGAACTGTGGGCGTCCCCTCCCCGGCTTACCACACGTGGGGACAAGTCCTTACCATGGTTTGCATAGCTTCTAAATGACTAGGACATTCAAACAGCTACTCTCTGATCCCTGCTGCCAGTGTGTGATTCATGACTGCAACCTGCTCAAGAGAGCCTGGCTGTTTACATTTCATCCTGTTAAACTGTCTTAATTGGACACATCTGGTGTAGCCAAAGCATGCGGGCAGACAGGTTGGGCTGGCTTCTGTGTTAGTGTGAATTAGTCAGCTTAGCTTCCCCCTGCTTGATAGAAGTGAATATCCTTGAAGAAATGACGATTTTGATTGAGAGAAAAAAGAAGCCATTTACTTAGGCCACTTCAGTAGGTGGGATCCATTCGGGCTGAAAAAGAGGAAGTAGGAAGTATTTGGGAGGATGACAAGGATCAGCTGCCACCTCTAAACCCTTTTTATTGGTTAATGATGACCCTGAGAGGGAGAAGATGGTCTTTTTTCTTCTGGTCCTGCACATTCCGATATTTAAACTGATATCTGCAGTAAAGTCCAGGCATGCTCGGGGGTTCAGCAAACCTTTGGATCAGCCTGGGCTTTCACCTCAGCTTACAGCAGTTTCTTTGGACAGACACACTCTCTCTCGGGGGACAGAGCTCTCAGAGAAACCCATGGCAGTTAGGAGGGGCTGCGTCCAGGACGGTGTAGGCTCAGACATTCTCAGGTTCTCTTTTGGATTTTCTTGACCAGTAAGTCTTCGGATGCTTTTTTCTTATCTGTGTTCCCATTTTGTTCTGTTATTTTCTGTGCATGCTCCACCGCTTGGATGATTGCAGGCATTCTTTTGCTGGCAGGCAAAGGACTGTTGATACACTCCAGCAGAAAATAATAAAACCCTCTGCGAGCGCTGTAGCTGGTGACGTTTAGCGGGTACTTGCGAGATGATTCAGTTTCTTGTCTTGTAACTCACCTATCAAATGCTGTCTGGGAATGAGGTATTCCACACCAGTGAAATTTCCAGATAGCAGAAATTCGAGTACCAATTTTAAAAATAAAGAATATGCTGCTCTTCTAAACCTAGAATATTGAACACTGCTTTGGGGATGTATTGTAAGAAACGATCTTCTCTGTGCTCCATCCTCTTAGTCTGTCTCTCTTTTTCTTTCTTTCTTTCTTTCTCTCTCTCTCTCGTTCTTTCTTTCTTTCTTTCTTTTCTTTCGCTATAGCATACTGGGCTTGGTTTCAGCATATTCATGCATGTATATAACATACTTGCATCATCCCGCATTAACCTTTGCTCCCTCTTTCCCTTCCTCTCCTAGAACT